TCAGGCTGATCTTGAACTCCTAGAGTGCTAGGATTACAGGCGTGAGCCACCGCGCCTGGCCTATTTCTTAAAATAGTAATATAGTAATAGTAGTTATAACAATAATAATAATAATAATGGACACTTCTAGGAGATACTCAGGACAATAACAAGAGAGTAAGAGACCAGGTGGTCCCCAAATCCTCTGTCCCACAGCCCAACAATTCTGTCTTCTTTTCCAAACCTTACCGTGGAGGAAGCACTCGCATGCCGGGCAGCAAAAACAACACAGGATGCATTCTGCAAAGCAAAAATAAAAACATTATGTAAAAGTTACTCCTCCCTCCTTTGTATTAGCAACAAAGAGTTATAGTGACTCAACCTCTCTTCATCTTAGCCTCTTAGGACAGTTTGACAGAAGAAAGCTGTAAGGCCCTGAACAGCTTGGGAGGAGTTACCAGTCTGGAAACAGCAGCAGGTTTAACTATGCTTCTTGTGTTCATAGCTTCACTAGCATCCCTGAAGAGTCTTTCCCATGATCTGGGTTCCAGAGCAGTTGTTGAGTATCCAGTCCATCTAGATCTAGCTATCAATATTTCTGAGTGGTCCCAAGGAAAAAAAAATGAGGAAACTGACCAATTACTTAATGCTGCTGGTAAGATGCCTTCTGCACCCGGTCTTTTGGCAGGACTTCAACCTCTCCAGTCTAGGAAAGCCCACAGGCAGAGAGCAGCCTTACAATACTACTTCTAACCCTCCTAGAAAAAGCACAGAGAAGACAGACTATCTACAAAGAAACAACTGACAGAAGACTACTCAACAGCAGCAATGGAAACTTTTTTTTTTTTAGAGACAGGGTCTCACTCTTGCTCAGGCTGATCTTGAACTCCTAGAGTGCTAGGATTACAGGTGTGAGCCACTGGGCCTGGCTATGGAAACTTGAAAACTGGAAAATTTTCTAAAAGAGTGCCGAGACAATAATTATTAAGCTAGAGTTGTGTGTGTGTGTGTGTGTGTGTGAACAACTTACAAAGAGGGAGGCCCCTTTTTTTATGACGGGGGCCCGTTCATCATCTGTGGCTAATGTGTCTTGCTTTTGCTCTGTGAACCTATCTTGCCCTTCCTCAACAAACTTCGTTTCTTGCTTGCCTTGCAAAAAACAAAAAAAAACCCAAAAACCAAAACACAAAGAGGGAGAGAAATAAAGACATTTTCAGATAAACAAAAACTGAGAGTTTATCATCTACACTACCTGTACTAAAGGAATTTTAAAAGATATACTTTAGGAAGTAATTAAGAAAATTATCGAGAAAGATGAGCCTGAGACTCAAGAAGGCTATCCCTCACTACAGAGATAAACAGCATGGATAGCTTACGCTTTTCTATGTGTAGGGGTAGGTTCCCCCCAACCCCAGCAAAGAGAAATTACTTTCTATAAGAAGACTGCAGAGTTCCAACACAAGTTCAACACCAACTTAGAAATAAGATGACCAATTATACTACTAATTAGGAAAAAAGACTTAGACAAGAAAATTAACTTTTCTACACTAGATTATTTTAAAGAGAAAATAAGTCAAGCCTCAGTTTCCTGCTCTATAGTATGATGCTAATACCCATCATATACCTCACAGATTGTCTTGTGATAATTAAATTATTGTGGATGTGAAAGTACTTTGTAAATTAAGAAGATTACACATGCGTACAAACAAACTAAACCTGGAACAAGTCTACACCTTTCCTCCTTATGCCAAAAGGCCTTTTCTAGTAATTATTGCACTGTCTGGCTGTGCAGAAAATCATTTGAACAGGTAGTACTGTATAAATTACAAAAAGCTACATGCTTAGGGTGAGAGTTCTGTAGGGCAGGAGGCTTTTTAGAATGTACTGTCCCTCCCTATTTCTGTTGGGGCGGGGGGGAGGACTGAAGGGAAAAAAGACCCTTCAGAAAAGGCTATTTTTAAAAGAATCGATCCAAAGCAAAATTCAGAGAACATAAGGCAAGCCAATATGTCCCTAAAGCAAAGGGGGAATGCCTCAACAGGGCTGTCTTTAACTCCGTTTCCTAACTTCCTGAAGAATATCCTCTAGCTCAATTCTTCACCTGGGCAAGAAGTAGGAAGCACAAAAATCCCTTCACAGCCCCTTCACCCTACATAGGGTGAATAGGAAACTTAACCCAGCACTCAAGGTATAACTTTGCCTTATCTTACTAGTCACTAAAAAGTGGTCAAGGGAAGACATGTGAATAAGTTTAAACTATTGTTTTATAGAGTTAACCTTGCTTAAGCTATTCCATGTTCCAGAGGACCCATCTCTCAGAGACCACCATAAGCACAGCAGCAGACCTTTTAATTGTGGGTGGTTGTTTATTGTGGTTTTGTGGTTTTTTTTTTTTTTTTGAAGCAGCTACAGGAAACAGATCATCTGAAAGAAGTTGAAATTTCTCCATAATGATAATTTTTCCACTTTTAGACCATCCTTAAATTTTTATAATGCCTAGCTGCTTCACTAGCAAGAGAGAGGATTGTAAGAATAGTTTAAGATTAAATCCTAGGTAAAAAAAAAAATCTATCCAAGCTCAACAGATAGAATGAGAGCCCAAATCTTAAGGTGAAAATGGAAATTCCTTCAGGTTGGAGGTCTTTCTTCTACCAATATGAACATAAAATAAAAAGTTTTCATTGTGAGAGAATTACTAGAGCTGTTCCCTCTCCTTTTACTTCATTAAACATTAAAAAAACAAAAATAGGCCGGGCACGGTGGCTCACGCCTGTAATCCTAGCACTCTGGGAGGACGAGGCGGGTGGATTGTTTGAGCTCAGGAGTTCGAAACCAGCCTGAGCAAGAGCGAGATCCCGTCTCTACTAAAAAAAATAGAAAGAAATTATCTGGACAACTAAAAATATATAGAAAAAATTAGCCGGGCATGGTGGCGCATGCCTGTAGTCCCAGCTACTCGGGAGGCTGAGGCAGGAGGATCGCTTGAGCCCAGGAGTTTGAGGTTGCTGTGAGCTAGGCTAACGCCACGGCACTCACTCTAGCCAGGGCAACAGAGTGAGACTCTGTCTCAAAAAAACAAAAATAAAAAACCAAAGAGGAAACCGGAAAGAAAAGGTCACCTGACTAGGCTGTAAGAATGCAACATCATTTAAAAGGGATCAAATGGGCTATGACTGCTGTTTAGTTTACCACCATCTCTCAAATTTGTTTATATGACTGTTACTTTAAGAAATGGTTAGGGAAAGGCAACTAAACTATCACCCACTTCCACCCTCAGCAAAATCTTAATTTCTTTTGTAGAGAGCTTCTTTGCCATTTAATGAGAAGCTTCAGGAATAAACTGAAGAGAGCTGATCTTCACTGTCCCTAACCTTGATCATCAGCACTTCTGAGGCAGATCTCCAATTTGCAAAGCAATGCTAGTTTGTAGAGTGCTTGCCTATGTGCTTATAGAATAAAGCTAGTATATTGTTTCTACTACACTTCTCTGTCACTTACTGGCTGTGGGACCCTAACCAAACCATTTAACCTTTATGTGCCTCAGTTTCCTTATCTGTAGAAGGGGAATAATAATAGTACCTACCTCAAAGGATTGTTATGAGGATTAAGTAAGTAAATATTTACAAAGCACTTAAAATTGTATCTGGCATATAGCAAGTGCTATGTATGTGTTATATAACAAATATGTAAAATAAAAGTATAGCCACTTTCTAGCACCCACCAGTGTCAGGTTCAGTCACGTTTTTTGGTAACTCTGAAGCTTGGAAAACCAAAGAAATCAGAAGGATTTTAAACGAAGCAATTCATTGATAAAACTGTTCAAAAGGGAAGAGCAGGAAAAATTCAAGTTAGGACTTCATCTAATGATGCGGAGTTCATAGCATTTGATTTGGAGTAACAAAATCTTGGTTCTAGCCCCAGCTCCATTACTAAATAACTAAGACAACCAAAGCAAAACAATTAACTACTGTTTCCCTTCCCATTTCCGTATTTAAGATAACAAACTGCTTAACTCAGAGTCTAATTCTCAAGCTCCAATAAGGACATATGTAAAGGTACTCAAGTTTTATTACTTAAAATGTGACTTCCTAGCCAGCAGTATTAGTATTACTCAGAGCTTGTTAGAAATGCAGAATCTTGCACCTCAGACCTACTGAATCCAGATCTGCAGTTTAGTATGATTTTTTTAATTTCAGAATATTTTGGGGGTACAAACGTTTGGTTACATAAACTGCTTTTGTACAGTTTGAGTTAAAGTTATTGTACCCGTTAGGTGTGAATTTACCCATCCCCTCCACCCCCTCCAAGATCTGCAGTTTAGATGTGGCATTATCAAGAAGCAAGTCCTAAATTCAGATTCTGCTACTTTCCTGCTTTATTATGTTGGTTATGTGATCTAACTTCTCTAAGTCTCAGTTTTCACATCTCTAAAATGGCAATAATAAAAGCCAATTTTAGGGCCAGTGTGGCTCACGCCTGTAATCCGAGCACTTTGAGAGGCTCAAGCGGGAGGATTGCTTGAGGCCAGGAGTTGGAGATCAGCCTGGGTAACATAGCAAGATCCTGTCCTTTAAAAAAAAAAAGGAAAAAAAATGGAAAAGTTAGCCAGGTGTGATGGTGCAGCCCTGTAGTCTTACTCAGGAGGCTAAGGCAGGAAGATCACTTGAGCCCAGGAGTTCAAGGCTACAGAGCAATGATCATGCCACTACACTCCAGCCTCAGCGACCAAGTGATAATTTGCATAAAAGCATATGGAAAAATGGATTGTACATAGCTGAGTTCAATAAATATTTCTTAGAAATGTGTTGGCTTATTACCTATCATCAAGTGTCAGAACTCTTTCCTGGAGTTGGACCCCAGGAAAGAGGCAGTCAAGCCTGAGGAGGAAGTGAATGGATAATTCCTTCCAGCTGCGGAACAGGTAAAGCCCCAATTTTCTTTTAAAGGGCCTCTTGACCAAGATGGGGGGAGTCTCAGGGAGAGGAAACAAATTTAAGTAACCCTAATTTCCACCAGCAGAGCAAATGACTCTAGACAGGAGATGCTTAAGGATGCACACCCTATTTCCTCTATCCCCTGGCTGCCAAAGAAAGCTGCTGAATGGCTTTGTACAGTACATTCAGTTTATACTCACTGATGGGACAGGCAGATTACAAACCTCTGAGTCATTCCTGAACTTCTACCTCTCAGCTCCTCCCTCAGCCTTGGAGGTGTGGCAGCTGAGCTTTGGCTTCTGGTTGCATGCCACCTGTAGAGTCACTCTACTGGAACAGCAGCTGTCAGGTGAATCAGGCAGTCCACCTCACTCAATAGGTCAGCTCCTTCATGGGGAAAGATGAAGAGAGCTGCTTCCAAAGACAAGGGCTTGGCTCACAATGTTTGATGGCCAGTATTCTCTACAGGGTGGGGGTAGGCATATCACAATCACTAAAAGGCTTTTCGAACCTCATATGCTACCACCCCCTTACCAGATCTCCTCTAGTGAGTCTGCTATTATTGATAGAAATGGGCTGTAGCTCCCAAATGTGCTAGGATACGGAAAAATATAACAATTAAAAGAATCTCTATCTTAAAGGGCTAAGAGAGGAAAAGGACTAATTAGTACATACAGGAAATTCTGCGAAAGACTTGCCTATAATATTTAGAGTATTCTAGGAATAGGTATTGGCCAAATCACTCACCAGATATCAATTAACTACCCCCTTTTCCAAATTGTGTAATCAACAGGATCCTATTTGGATAACCACTTACTCGATAATGTAGTTATTTCCCTCTTACTCCTCTTACCCTGTATTATCATTGGTCCACATTTAGGACCCTCACTCTACATGGGAGAAGCTGAATTTTATTTGATTCTCCACCCTCTTCACATCAAGACTATATTCTACCACATATCCACATGACCAACATTAAAACCTTGAGAGAGATGCTCCTGATTTTAACAGGGTCCTTGCCTATCAATACAAATCAGAGCTAGCCAAGCCAGCAGGACTGGCTTAGCTGATGGAGCACACATAGTACACTAACAACCAGTTGGAAAAATCTTGTCCCTACAGTCTTCCAATACAGAAGGAACAACTTGTATTAAGAGAAAATGAATACGTATAGGACAAAGGCTCCTCTCTCCCCAGAACCAGGTCAGAGGACTAAAGCCATTTGATGTCTTTGTTTCATAACAGTGACACTGGAAGTCAGCCTGCACTACTTGGTCAGGCCACTTAATAGCCTGAGCAACATAATCTACAGAGTTCACATTTTGATCCCCTTAATACTCACAGGAGTTTATCTCTTTCTTTCTCTGTCTTTTTTTTTGGACAGAGTCTCACTCTGTCACCCTGGCTGAAATGCAGTGGCATCATCACAGTTCACTGCAATCTCAAACTCCTGGGCTCAAGCGATCCTCCTGCCTCAGCCTCCTGGGTAGCTGGGACACAGGCATGCACCACCACTCCCAGCTAATTTTTGCTATTTTTGGTAGAGACAGGGTCTCACTCTTGCTCAGGCTGGTCTTGAACTCTTGACCTCAAGTGATCCTCCTGCCTCAGCCTCCCAGAGGGCTAGGCTTACAGGCATGAGCCACCGCACCCAAACAGGAGTTTCTTTAATAATTTTACCAAACTGTCATTTTACAACAGTCTCTTGCCTAAAGGTTCACTGATCATTCAGTAAAGAAGACTGCTAAAGATAACACTCCAGCCTAAGAATCAATAGTCCTGAATTTTCCTTTTAGTAGAAACCCTTACCATTCTTTAACAAATATGCCTTGAACATCTACTTATTATATGTACACTAAGTGTACACTAGTGAATAAAGCATACAAGATCTGTCATCATATAATTTCTCAGAAATTAGAAACTATTCCCTCACTTCTGCTAGGAGTTCTTACAAGTTTTAGCGACTAACACTTTGCTTTCAGCTCCTAACATTTTCTTTTTTCCCAAATACCTTTTCTTAAGGCATTTGGGGAAAAAGGCCTCGGAAGAAAAACCTAGAGAAAACAGCCTAAAGCACACTGCTGCTTAGAATGATTACTTTTGAAGTCCATTTTTAAAATAATCAGTCATCCAAAAAACAATGCCCAAACACTCAAAGTTTCCTATGATGCATCCAATAAAGTTCAAACAAAAAGGCCTTCATGTGGCTTTATTGGCCTAATAGTAAGGTCCTGGGACCACCAAGCATCATCAGTCTCTAACAGTCAACTGAGGTTATTAAAAAAATATAAGTTTCCAGATATCATCCCATCTTTGCTGAATCATAATCTGAAGATAGGATCTAAGAGTCTACAAATGTGAACAAGCATTCCAGGTGATGATGCCCACCATCAGCTTACAGACCTTTTAAAATGGAATTATGTTAAAATAAATAGAGACCTAAAGAATCTGAGCAGCTGAATGAAGAACTGAAAGATAGGCAGACACTAAGAAAGAACTATTGCTAAAGCTGCTTCACCAAGGTTTTAAATTTCACATCCTGCTCAACTCTTATCACATAAATTATTGACACAGAGCAGAATTACTGTGTGGTTTTAGTGGGATCCACCAAGTCTGGTTTCCTTTCTATTGCCCACTTGGATTCTAGGAACCAGGAATGCCAGCCCTTCCTTCTCTGATTGTCTACTTCACTGCTGCCCTAGCTGCCTTCCTATGCCCATGCATTCTTCACCTACTACCAACCTAAAGGCCACTAGAAAAAACAAATTTGAAGCTGGGCATGATGGCTCATGCCTGTAATCTCAGCCACTCAGGAGGCTGAGGCTGGAGGACTGCTTGAGGCCAGGGGTTATGACCAGCCTGAGTGACATAGCAAGACCTCGTCCCTAAAAAAATTTTTTTAAATTAGCTGGGTGTGTGGCTCACACCTGTAGTCTCAGCTATTCAGGAAGCTAAGGTCATTCAAGCTCAGGAGTTTGAGGCTACAGTGAGCTATGATCATGCCATCGCACTGCAACCTGGGCAACAAAGCAAGACCCCATGTCAAAAAAAAAAAGGAAAAAGAACAAATGCAATCATCCCATCACTGGCACCCCATAAGGTTCCGCCCATCTCCATCTTCAGTCCATCTAGTAAGCATCTGGGAATCACTGTTACTTTGGGTAGGCTGACAGTCAAAGTGAAGGCACAGAGATCTGAACCCTTGCTTTAAAAAGTTTTGGGCTGGCTGGGTGCGGTGGCTCACGCCTGTAATCCTAGCTCTCTGGGAGGCCAAGGCGGGCGGATTGTTTGAGGTCAGGAGCTCGAAACCAGCCTGAGCAGCAGCGAGACCCCGTCTCTACTAAAAATAGAAAGAAATTAATTGGACAACTAAAAATATATAGAAAAAATTAGCCGGGCATGGTGGTGCATGCCTGTAGTCCCAGCTTCTCGGGAGGCTGAGGCAGTAAGATCGCTTGAGCCCAGGAGTTTGAGGTTGCTGTGAGCTAGGATGACGCCACGGCACTCTAGCCAGGGCAACACAGTGAGACTCTGTCTCAAAAAAAAAAAAGTTTTGGGCTTTAAGACTAAACATCTCACAGGACAGAACCAACTTGGTTTTTTTGAACTCAATTTCAGACTAGGACTCCTATAGGAGATGTTGTGCGGTGGTATAAGACTGCTGTAGAGGAACCACTGGTATTTATTTAAATGTTTTGAAAAAAATCCAGAAATAATCTAGAAACATCTTTGGATCAATTTACTCAAAGATTCAAGCATCACGGCTTGGAGAAGCAATTCTCGGTGGTATAAGAATCAACTCCCTTTAGCTAGGGTTGGTTAAGCATGTTGACTTCAAGAGTCCAGAAGTGAACTGTAGTCCTACTTCAATTCCCAGCCCAAATCTAAACCCAAAACATATGTGAAAAGATATGTCACAAAGCTGGGACGCTCACAGATAATACTAAGGCCATTGCTTAGCATTAATTCATTTGACAAACAAGAAGTCAAATAATGTCAAGGCTCTGAATTAGTCTAACTCAGGTGTTCATTTAAATCATCTGACAGTGGGTAGAATGGAACAATAGAACAATGACTAGCATTTCTGTCTCCTAGCAAGGTTAAAAAAATCTTTTCTCAGAAAAGTGAAACTATATCTGACCTTGAGAATCAAAGTGGTAGGGGTCAGTTTTCCCAGGTCAGAAGACTATTTTGCCCTCTAAAGCCTACCTTAATAGCAAAAGTAAAATCTATTACCAATTACGACTACCACTAGACACGATCTAATCTAGAAAGCCCAAGCAGGTGCTAGCAAAGCTGACAAGTTGAAAGGCTTCTTGGTATCTTGGTCATATTGCTTAATTCTCAGGAAATTTCCACTCCTGAGCTTGTTGGGGTTTGCTAGTTTTAAGGGTCAAAAGTCTTCTAACAGCTTTCAACTTATTGGTTTCCAGGATCCTCAGGGCTCTCTAACAGGGGAGTAAAGAAAATAACAATACCAAAATTATGTAGCCCTGTCATCCCAAAAGTGTTCTGAGCTTCCCTAAGGGCTTAAGGGACAAAATAAATTCAAAAGGTAAATCTGAAGGCTTTTTCAAATTCACTGTAGAGTCAGTCTATCTGGTTTGGGTTAGCAGTTGTGGAATGAGCTAATTATAGTGTCCCCTATTCTGCCAAAATACTATCTAGAACTTGCTTCATTTCCCAAGAGGTTTCCTTACCCTGTTCCCTGACAGCAGGAGAAGCAACAGCCAAGTAAGATAAGTATCTCCCAAATGATCAGCCTCTACCTTGCTGCTGGGTGCCTGGAAGAACCTCAAGGTAAATCCTACAGGTTTCACTTTATCTCTGCCAATCATGAAAAACTAACACATCGCAAGCCAAAACCAGTCTAAGGCTTTCCTTTCCTTCAGGTGCTAGCAACTTTAAACCATCTGCTGAAGAGAAAGCATATGTTCTTTGCAGAAGTCAAGGTCACTTGTGGGACTGTCCTTGCTGGGATTAGAGGGCCAGGACTCCCTCAGCACAGCAGTTTTTCTGTTTAAAAGGCCAAGTTATTTAGAACCAAAAGGACTGGCAATTTGAAACTGGAGGCACCATTACCTGCAACAGTATTTCTAGGATCCAAAAACTAACAAATGTCAAGTAAAGGGCCCCAAAGAATGAAAGGAAGATCCTAGATACATTTAAGATCAGCAGCAACACCTGGACAAGCAAGTAGTATGACTGGTCATGTGACCTTGACATTACTATCTCTTGCTATCTTCATTTTTTGGCCTGCAGTTTGGTGGAACCACCTTTCTGGTTCTTTCTCCAATCATATGTTATAATCACGCAGGAGGTTTTACAGAAGTGCTCCACCCCACCCAAGCTCCTCCTATATAAAGAGTAAGTGAAAGAGTCCCAAGGACAAAGAGGACCTGAGGGTCCCACTTTTCTTTTCTTTTTTTTTTTTCTTTTTCTTTTTGCTACCAGAATAGCAAGTCAGGGTCCCCTTTACTAGCAGAAACTGTTATGGTGTGGTCACTAAAGGCTTAAATAATTGGGTTGGAGAAATGAAAACAAGCAGCTTAGGAACTAACAAGGCCCTTCCTACAAAGCAGAAGACGAAATTAGCCATTGTTCAGCTCTGGCCCACAGACAGTGTGTGCATATCTCTTCATTTCTGCCACCCTTTTTACCTGTTCACCCCCGCCCGTTCCACCAGACTCTTTTCCTAACTCCACTGGAACACCACACCTCTGTTCTCTACTGGCTGGTCTCGGCTCCTTCTTTTTCCAGAGTAACGCATCTCTTCTTATTTCACCTTAGACATACCCGGTGACAGCAGAGTCGGGCCTACTCACCCGCCAGACTGCAGGCCAGGGCGGGCAGCGTTCACTTCACCCCCCGGTGCCGAAGAGAAGCGTAGCACATGGCCCTGAGAGCTCCACGCAGGGCTGGCGGCCAGCCCAGCGCAGGGCCCCTTTAAGGCGTGCAGGGGTGCGCGCGGGTGTGGGAGGGAGACCCCGGCGCTTGAGGGTCTGCGGTCGCCTCAGCCCCACCCTGGGATGGCGTGCTCCCTCCCCTAGCTACTCACCTTGGCTCCCAAGAGGCGGGCGGCCGCAGTGAGTAAAGCCATGACGGGCGAACTCCAGGATCTGGAGGGGAGGAAAGGAGGGGAGAGAGCTGGGCAGGAACGGGAGCCGCCGCCGCTGCACCAAAGGCCACGCCAACCGGTGGACAAGGTTGAAAGGAGGCGGCTCAGGGAAACGGAGACGAACCGGCGGCGGCGCCCAGCCCGGGGTCCTCAGCGAGACCCCGCCCACTGGCCAGAACCCGGTCCCGTCCCTCTCAGGGGACTCGCCCTGGGCTCGGCCATTGGCCCGGTGGGGAGGGGGGCGGGACCTGAGCCGTTGACAGCAGTTGTGGCGGGGAGGATTGGATCGCCCGGATTAGGCCAATTGAGAGTGGATGGGTGGCAGGAGGGGGGGGGGTGTAGGTGGCTAAATATGTGCCTGAGAACTCAGTTAACTTCTTTCTTCAGGTTTTTCATTTGGGGTTAGTCCTGAGATGAATACTAAAAAAACTCCAGGACTCAACCTTGGAAGGTCGTTGGGAGCCAACTCCTTAATATACTATCAGGAAAACTGATGATTGCCCACTCCTCCTACTCCTTCGGTTAATGACTTCATGGCCATGGAAGTGACATCCATGTGGAAAATAGGCTATGATGCCAGAGATCATTTGCTGCTTGGTGGAGATCATTTGAGGTCAGCAGAAGCCAAGGTATTATACATATTAAGAGATTCCCAATATGTGGAGAAAAGCAAAAGCAAGAGTGTGAATCGAGTGCTTTGTGAGATGTCAGTTCTCTGTGTAATGCTGGGAAATCCAAGTCTTACAAACGACGCCCTAAAATGAAGGCTTACAGAGCAGGCTAGAGCCTCTGCATCCTGGGCATTACTCTCACTGCCACTCCAGTCATGTAACGCCAAACAGCCAACCCAGCCTACATTTAGCCACAAGATTAGGAGCTGCAGACCAACCCCTCACCCTCAGGCATTAGGCACCCTCCCTTTTTGTCACCTGACTCCCATAAGGGCATTGGGCCACTTCTCCTACTGGCTATCTTCTATACTCCCTTATCCTGTGCTCCCCAAAGACCATTAAATGACCCTTGGCACTAAAATGATCTTCCACACCACTCTATAACTCCTCTGGGTAGACAAGACCTCAGGACTTTTGTACCTCCCTAAGCCTGTTGTCATTGACCCAGGGGCAGAGGGGAGCTGACCTTGGGAGCTGACCCAAGGACCAGGGGACCTTATCTACAAACCCCCAGCCCCCGTGAACAGTCCTTTTATTAATATACCATCACATAGTGGTAACAAGGTTCAGAGGTCTCAGTACCCATCTAAGCCAGGTTTGGGTAGACCTCTTTTATAAAGAACTTAGTTTATACCTTAGACTTGGAAAAAGAGAAAGAAAACTCCTATTTTCTCTTCCTAAGTTTCGTTATACCCAGCTTCACACCTAACAACCAATGCTTCTCTGACTTGGGGATCAGATAGGTAGGTCTTAGGAAAGAACTTTGGTCTTTCGGTCTTTCTCCACCTGTTCCTCTCTCTGGAATGTAATTTAAATAAAAAAAAAAAAAGGAAATAACTTCATAAAGAGAAGCCACGCAATGCCCCAAAGGAGCATTGATCTCACCTACCTCCCTGGTGACTTCAAAGCTCCATTGAGCAATATTTGCTCCAAATTTAGCATCTCACAGAGAATTTCCTCTGGAATAACCCTATAATAGTCTGACCTGGTTCCTTCTCCCTGGTTAATTATCCACAGAGACTAGCCAGCAGACCAGGGGACTGAACTCCAGTGCCCAAGGAGACAGAGGCATTCTCAAGGTGAGGCCACCGAAGGAACAACTATTGAGTGGCCATAGGGTAACCTATTTTGGAACTTTAGTGATTGGAGGGAGGGTGGAGAACAGCAACACTCTGAGCCTCTTGACACTGCATTCTGGAACCTAGTGTCATGAGGACTTCATGGACTTGTTTTGAAGTGGTCCAGTCCTGACATCCACTGCTATAAGGTCAATTGGAAAGCTCAGGGATCAAAGAGGCTTAATGGATTCTCCCAGAAGCTGGCTTAGAGTCTCTTTCTGAACACTGATGGGACCTGGGGAGGTGGAGAGAATGTTAAGGGAGAAGGATTGGCATGAATAAAGCAGCCAAGTGAGCTCTAGGTCCAAATACAAGTAAGTGTAAAACTACAATGTAAACGATAGTAAATACAAACAAAAAATAAAATAAAAAACAAATACAATTAAGTGCCTGGGAACTAGAGGGGGCGAAGGAGAGAAGGCTGAGCATTGAGGTCACCATGACCTTGGGAGGACCTCTTTAAAATGGACAGGGGCAATGGTGCCCCCTGGTGGCCATGGACGAGTGGGAGAATGCAGCCTAAATTTAAACCCTCTTAAATTACATGAGTAAACCAACCTTCTGTATTTAATACATAATAGCTAAAATCTATTGAGTACTATTTCCAGATACTGTCTAAATGCAGCATATGCATTATTTAATTAATCCTCACAACAACTCTAAGATATGTAGATAACATTAGTATCTCTAAAGAGGAAACCAAGGGTTAGATGAAGTATCCTGCCCAATGTCATAGCTTGGAATTGGCATAGCTAGAATTCAGATTGAGGTTGGCCTCACTCCAGAGCCTGTATCATCTTTCTTTTTTTCCGCCTAAGGCTAGTCAAGTGAAGCAGTGGAAGTGGAGAAGGAGCAAAGGAATCTGTAACTGTGATCAATTGGTTGTAAACACCACTGCACTTGGACCACCCCAGAGCCTGTATCTTAACTACTAAGCTGTATTGTTTATATTATGATTGGCTGTGCATTATTAGCTGCAAGTCAGTTAAGGGTATTTCTGAGTCATTGTCAACTGTCTCCTGGGGACATCAGCTCAATGTGTTGCTATATTTGAAGATATTTTAAGCCAGGTGTGGTGGCATATGCTTGTTGTCTCAGCTACTTGGGAGGCTAAGGTGGGTGGATCATTTGAGCCCAGGAATTTGAGGCCATAGTGTGCTATGATCACACCTGTGAATAGCCACTGCCTTCTAGACTGGGCAACATAGCAAGAGCCCATCTCTAAAAAAATAAAATAAAATAAAAGGAACTATAATCTTACTCATTTGTAAAACCTTTGACATCCATACATGAAACAGATGACAAATGGTGACAAACATTTAGAACTTAAAATGATCAGAAGGGTAAAAATGGGCTTCTTATAAGTAATTAGTCTGGAAAAATGGCTGAACGGAAGATATAATGCTTTTCCATTATAGATTACTAGGATTAGAGGGCATGCATTCAAATTCTGAGGTAGTTTTCAAATGAATTTAGAAAGTGCTACTTTATATAGCCACTGGAGACTACATGGAAACTGCACTACATAGAGAGGTACAGCAGAAAGACAATTGGCCTAGGAAAGATGATCACAGGGGTTCAAGTCTTGGCTCCTCACTGACCAGCAAGATACTTAGAAACTAAGCTTAGTTTCTCCATCTGTAAAATAGGAATAACGTCTATTTCTTAGAGTTATAAACCCTAAATTAGAACTTATATGTGCTTATTGTATGAGTATTCAACACATGCTAATTCCCTTTCCCATGCTATCCATCCCTGTCCTATATTTAAAGGAATCTTGTGCCTGCAGTGAACCTTTTTAACAGCAAAAAATCCTCTAAAACTTATTTTTGTTTTTTGAGACAGGGTGTCGCTTTGTCACCTGGGCTAGAGTACAGTGGTGTCATCATAGCTCGCTGCAACCTCAAACTCCTGTGCTCAAGTGATCTTCCTGCCTTAGCCTCCTGGGTGTGTGCCACCACACCTGGCTAATTTTTCTAATTTTTTCACTTGTGCTCAGGCTGGTCTTGAGCTCCTGGCCTCAAGCGATCCTCCCATCTTGGCCTCCCAAAGTCCCTAGGATTACAGGTGTGAGCCACCGCACCCGGCCCTAAAACTTGTTTTTAAATGACTAGATTTTCACATAATAAACTTTCCTATTTACACCTGGACCTCATTTAATGCTCTTTGGAAATGTTTAAGTTCTAACATTTTGCTGATAATTTTTTTTCCACATTGTCCTCTCTGATTTTCTGATAAACTAATTTAGAAGTCATCCAAAACTTAAAGTTTAACCAGATTTGCAGGGTTAGGAGTATATGCTCTACCAAATACTGGCTAGAGTATTTTGTTATAGTGAGCCTCCAGGGGGTTCAGATAAATTTATGGATTCCTTGTGGTATGAATTAAAAGGTGTGCAAAAGTGCATCTTCCTAACCTTCTCAGGATCAAGTCAAAAAGATAACTTTTGCCCTTTCCCATATAGGACATATCCTGGTATACCAATGGCAGAGACTCTTGGGCTTGAGAGGTCTTAACAGCTGTACCTTGACAGCCAGTGAGATGCATCCCAAGTAACTTACTGATTAACATTATATTTATTTTATTTATTAAATCTTGTGAATAATTTGTTTTATAAATTAAAACAGTTTCAAGTTTCCTTTAAGAGTACTCTCACTTATACTTTTGATAAGCTTTCGGATGGAAGAGAAAGGAGTTTTTAGATGCCAAGCATGCAATGGCCAGAACCCTGGGTATACTCTCAGGGGTATGAAAAATGTGAGCATTATTCATGTGCATCACAGAAAAAAAAAGGTTAATAACAGCTGGTTTGGGAAACTGATTTGACAGGATACAGCATTTCTTATGGCTATTGAGAGAAGATGGAATTAATACCAGGCTGAGTTTAGCTGACAATATCAGAGTGCTTGCTCTGAGCTAGTTAATGTGTTAGATTTCATAGGGATTTGTGGTACAAGAAAGTTTTGTTGAATACGTTCATTCTGTGTGCCAGGCTTAGTGCAAGGTATTAGTAAGAGAAAAAAGACTTAAAATAGAAGCTATTCTCTAGCTATATATAGCTAGATTAGACTGGCCCTTGGGAAAGTTAGCTATTAGATCCAGTTTTGCCACTAAATATAGAACTTCAGGAAGTTCTGTGGCTTCTCTGGGCCTCACTTTCTTCATCTATAAAACGGGTAGAGGTGAAGTAGATGATGCTTTAGATTCTAAAATGCTGTAATTTTTTAAATCTTTGAAATGTTTATTCAGGTGTTCTCTCTTCAAGGCATTCCTGGGACAGAGATGTTCCATTCCAGACCCTGAGATAGCCTTATCTCAGGATCAGGGTGTTTAAGAAGTTTCCAAAAGAAGGTATCCTTTAGGTTTTCATCCCTATGCCCCAATATAGAATCTCAGCACACAAAAAATGAGGACAGATTTATAGTCCAGATTGACAATGGCTAGTGATGGAGATGAGAAAGATATACTTTATTGTTGTTGTTGACATCAAATCTAAAAGCTTAGGCTAGCAAGCAAGGCCTTTCATTAAATAACATTCCTTACCTCATCTGTCCCTATCCGATAAAGCCCTTACTTCTCAGCTGAGTTGGTCACATCCATTTTCCCCTTCCTGTCTCTGCTCTTGCTGGTCCCTCCATCTGGAAGGGCAGGAAGGGAAGAATAATGCATGTCCATTATTTCCTTCAAGACCAAGCCCTATCTTACTTTATTTTCACCAGCATGAATATAAGGAATTTCTAGAATCCTATACTACCATACGCTTATGTTCCGCTGCTTATTCACAGAGGTTCCTATCTTCTCCATAATTAGACTCTAAATACACGATATTGAGTGAGCACTGAATAAATGCCTATCTAGTTTATGAGTGCAGTGGAATCTCAGAAGGTAAAAGAATTAAAGGTTCTGGCCCCTCCTACCTTTGTCCTACATGAATCCCAAAACTCTTCTTTCCTCTCTGTTTTGTTTCCTGTCTATAATCCCCCATATTCAAGCCTAATGTAATGGCCGATTCCGGGCACGAAAAGACAACACAGTTTGTACTTTTGGTTTCATGTTTTTTCAGTTCATTTCAGTAAAAACATAATATAAAAGGCATTGCCACCATTTTCCCCTCCTGGGGGTGATCCATCAAGCCGGACTAGGCTGCTCCAGTAGTTCATAGCTCATCATGAGATATGTGCAGGGCATGGTCACATAGATCTGCAAACAGTACATAACAATTTGAAGGAAAACACCACTCTCATGTTGATATATGCCACTATCAAGAAAATACCCCAAACCAAACTGGCACACATACACTAACCACCATTCTTCAGAACATATGTTTATAAATGATAAAACATCCTCACTGCTCTGTCACTTGTATCTCAGGTGAGGGGACCACAAATTCTGAAAGCTGACAGAAAGAGAATGGAGAGGAACAACCCAACTCCCTAAGCCAAGGGAAATGGAAGCTAGCTCTTGAGCTAAATATCAGAGGATTTCTCACATGGGAGTGGGTGGGTTAGGGAATGTGCCAGGTTCCACAGGGGTATGAGAACAGAACAGGAGATTAAGTGGGGGCAGCTTACCTGTTCGCTTACTACAAAGTTTGTCTTTAACATTGTCAGCCTCTCGGGAAAAGAATTCAATGAGTTCATCCTCATATTCCTCCACAATGCTCTCACACTGCCAACCCAAGGGAGAAACGAGTGACAAAGGGCAGCAAGAGGCCTCTTGCCTCCACCTCCAAAGAGGAGGACAAGGATATTGACCCAGCTTTCTACTTGGGTCCTCCAACAACCCCCTTAATTTCCAAGAACCAGCTACCCACTTCCATAGCTCACCGCAAACTTGAGGGTGCCGCTGATATCTGAATCAATTCGGATTCCCTGTAGGTCCAGTTCATTGGATTCTCCATTCCGGCCTACTACACGTACGTAGTTCTTGCGGTGGGTGGAAGGGTCAATTTGTTCCCCGTACTCCTTCATCCGGTCACATACCTCCTCTAGCAGCTCTGTGAGGTGGGCCTCTGAGCGAGCATAAGGCACCTAGAAATGTCCTCAGCCTTGGGTCACTCTCTTCTACCTCTATACATTAGTAATTTATATCCTTACTTTTCCTTCCAAATCTAGCTCAATCAACCCATTCTAAAAAGCCTTCCCTAATTTAAAACAATATGGTTTATTTGTACAGTTTCAAAGTACTTTCAAATGTATGATTGTATTTTACCTCATTATATAATCCTAAGGAGACAGGTATCATTAGCTCCAAAGTATACAAAAACAGAACGTTCTTTGATTAACACTGATCGACTATATTCTTTTCCTTTGAATTCTCCCAATTCTTATGAAGATAATTTTTTTTTGTATCAAAATGAGACAGCAGTAAGGACAGCATTAGAGAGGTAGTGTAGACTCTGAGAATAACAACTATTATATAGCACTTCACAAGTATCATAATCTTAACATTTCTTTATATATATATTGCTTACTAGGTATGGCTTTGTGTATATCTGTTATGTTTTCAACCAAAATAAATTTCCTAATTACAAGGATAAGACCTTCTATTCTTTTTAAAATGAATGTATGCATACCACAGTGCTATAGTGAAAACATGAGTCGTGGATTAGGGATGTAGAGAAGGGGGCTGATCAGGGCTCTTAGAGCCAGGAAGCAAGTGCATAGGGTATAAACATCCAGCCTCTTTTGATAAGACAGAGCCCAATCTTTTAGATACCTCTCTGGGTCTGTTTTCTTCATTTCTGTTAAACCAAGGTCGTTCTTAATTAGTTGAGTTCTCACACAAAGCCAGAGTGAGCTACTGTACTTGGGGGAACAGTAACGGTTACCTCCACCACTGACTGGCTGCCATCTGGATTGATCCGGAAAGATCCCATCTGAATGGTCTTCTTGGGATCCACCTGGGCAATTTCCCACTCTAGTTCATCCACTAGAGCCCTGCAAGCTTGTGGGAAGGGGAGAGAATAGGGGCAGGGGATAGGGTTGAGGTAGGGTGGGAAGAGAAGGGTATTAACCCAGGGATTTCCATTCATCCTTCTCCCAAGCCTTGGATCTCATATCCTCTGGTGGCTCTACTTCCTCCCACTTCTCCTTCCCTTTGTGCCTTTACCTCCGCAGTGTAGATCCTGGCTCCTCCGAGCCCAGGCAGTTCCCAGCAAGGCCCCCAGAAGCAGGGCCAGCCAACCCCAGCCTTTCATCTTTAGCGTAATGGGGTCGCTCCACCTGGGTTTGGGCGGGAATAAAACAGGTGTGAGGAGCCAACTCCATTTTCCTCTGCCCCCCTACTCCTCATCCTAGGGCTTTCAAAGGCCTCAGTTCCACTCTGGATATACTTTCCAGGAAATGCCCAAGACACGAAGGGGCTCCTCTGTTACACTGCTTGAGGCCTCCGATTACGCCGGGGCGGTGGGCTGGAAGCGCGAGCTCTGGACTTGGGGCTCAGTCCCAGACACCACATCTCGACAGGTGACGCCCTAGTGTAGGTACTTTAGCACTGGATGCCTTTGGCTCACAGGGCTATGTGGCAGCTACGGGAGAGAAGCTGGCGATTACGCGGGAACGTCAGGCACTGGGAAGCTGCCAGCAAGGAGCCTTCAGTCAGGCCAGAAGGCCGGTGAGGAGCACTCGATATCTGGCGTTTATTTGGACTCTGCACTGATGACTCCTGCCATCTCACCTCCAGCCTATAAGTGATTGCCCGTGCGAACAAACCCCTTTCTAAGGACTCCGCCATTGCTTTCGCTCCAGTCCATTCCCAACCCTCAGCGCCCAGCGCCACTGCCACCCGCATCCGTCCCACCTCTGCTCCCAGGGCCGCCGCCGTGGCCCAGGCGCTGGAAGACCGCTGGACTCTCACTTTGGCCTCGGTGGCTCTCGAACCTACACCTGGCTGCGGGGGAGTGGGGCTGTCCTGGATTCTCCAGACCGCTTCGCCGCCTTCCAGACACGAAGTGTCCCGGCGACCGCCTGACCTAGCTCCCCGGACCCTAACTGGCACCTAAGCAGGGTTCGGGTGCGCTACCGTGCGAGTCCCCCCCAGAAACCGACCCCAAACCCGCCCCTCCAAATTCTCGCGCGAACAGGCAGCTCAGAAGCGACTCCGAGGCAGCGAGGACCCCAGTCGATCACAGAAGGACCCAGACTTGCGTGGCGAACAGCTCCACGTGACCACTAGGGTCAGCCAAAGAATAGGAGTGTCCTGCAGCTAGGCGAGCCCGTGCATTCAGTATGGGAGTGGTCAGGCGTGCGCTTGTATCACTCTAGGTGGGCTAGCTAGACGTTCAAAAAGGTGCGCTGCTGGCCGGCGAGCAGCACAGGTTTCAATACACAGAAAACTACATTTCCCAGGAAGCACCGCAACACGAGGCAGATCTTTTGTCAGTAGCTTCAACTCTTTTAAGATATCCTGGGACCTGTAGTTTGTCAGCTTACACAATTAACGGGTAAACCATACTGTACATCTTCAAACATCCTGCCTTAGGATACTAGACAGCTACAGCAAAGACCTAACATTGTCCAGGAGAGACATAATTATTCTCCTTCCATATCCACAACTTTGGCTTCCAGGGCTTTACCTTCAATTCTAGTTGGGGATTTGAACAGAATCTTACTTTTTCCAGTTGTATTAAGAAGCCAAAACGAAGAAAGGAGAGGACTGAAGTCAGACCAACCACAATAGCAATTCTCTAATGAGACAGATGATAGACAATATTTTTGTTTTTATTTTAAAAAACATGCGGTTTAAAACAAAATTTAAAAAAATAACAAAACTTGGGACAGGAGAGTGGATGGAAGACAGATGCTTCTCAGCTGTCAGCAGGAATAAATGAAGCCAGCAGCCAAGCTTTGTCCAGGATCCAAAGGCCCTTTAGGCAATAGTATTAACAACATTGGCTTGCTTGGGCCACCAAGACTTTATATGCTGGCCCCTCCAGGCTTCCCTCAAACAGCTGGTGACGTGAGCTAAGTCTTGAACTGTTGTATCCTCTGTTACTGTCTAGGATTTCAGTCCCTAGCCAGCTAGGAACTGTGAGTTTTGGTTCCAGGAGCTTCTCTGCCTGGATATTAATCACCCAGAATATTTACTAAGAATACTAATTACTTTCCATCTGGGTCAATTCTAGACTGTTTCTGGCCCACAATTTTGCAAAGGATGAAGACAGAATCTGGCTGCTAGAACCTCTGCAACAATTCTGCTGTATTCCAGTTCTATTAATAGCACCATCTGTAGACCCTGAGCAGGTCCAATTCTGGAAGTAGACAGAATATAGTCAACTTTGGAAGCCATCTCCCAGTTCTGGGGCCACAGAACGCTAAAGGGAGAGGGCCGTGGTTCTCTGGGAGAGGGAAGGTCAGAGCGCCAGCACTGAAGAGAAGACAGCTGCATCTGTCAGAGACAAAACCAAAGCATGACTCTTAAGGTGAGTGGAGAAAAAGCACCTTCTCATACTTCTTATGGAAGAAAAATGCAAGAGAAAAGAGGGCATGGACCATCACCAGATATTTTAGAATTGGGCAAGAGGATGTTATAAGACCAAGGAACAGTTTCAATAATAAAATCTAGGCCAGGCGCAGTGGCTCACGCCTGTAATCCTAGCACTCCGGGAGGCCGAGGCGGGTGGATTGCTCAAGGTCAGGAGTTTGAGACCAGCCTGAGCAAGAGCAAGACCCCGTCTCTACTAAAAAATAGAAAGAAATGATCTGGACAACTAAAAAAATATATATATAGAAAAAATTAGCCGGGCATGGTGGCACATGCCTGTAGTCCCAGCTACTCAGGCTGAGGCAGAAGGATTGCTTGAGCCCAGGAGTTTGAGGTTGCTGTGAGCTAGGCTGACGCCACAGCACTCACTCTAGCCCAGGCAACAAAGCGAGACTGTGTCTCAAAAAAAAAAAAAAAATCTATTTCACTGAATGTTAGGAGGATTAAGTGCTTTGTAAACTGTTAAGTGCTTTACAAATATAAAGCAGAGGTGGTATTGCTATCATCATTATCATCATTATTGTTGTGGTGGGTATAATCTCCATATATGCAATCCACCTAGTCCAGTTTCCCTTGTCCCTTCCCCAGTCTTACTCTTGGGACTTGTCTGGCCCTCAGGCTCAGGCACCTTCCAGTCCATCTTTCGGCCCTTCTCGTAAAGACTCTTGAGCACCTTGTGGAAAGACTCAGGCTCAGTGCCATTCTTGCTTAGTTCCAGATACTTTCGGTAGAGCTGAAGGGCTGTACGGGCATCCTCAATACTGTCATGAGTCTCCCCTTGAATTTTCAGGTCTGGGATAAGTAGAGGTGGAATATTGTGGGACCTAGCAAAGGGAGGTAGGACATGTCCCCCCACTCCCATCCCTGACTCCCAGAATACAATAAAAAACCTGACTGCCCCAAGGGAAAGAGTCAAACACCTTCCCTGGTGCAAAGAAGGGACCACTAACTCAGGGTCCTCCCTACTCCCACTTAGTCCCCCAACACTTTTTCTGCTCTTAAGGTACACAAGAAGGGCCTACAAGGCAGAGAAACTCACCCAGAAAGTACCAAGCAAGGAATCGCAAAGAAATCATTCGTTTTCGGGGCATGTGGAACAGGTAGACAGTGTCAAGGACTTGGTCCTTGGGCACCTGGCAGGAATAAAAGCATGGGAGACTTAAGGTAGGGGATCTATCATTTCCCATTCTCCAAAAGTACAATGTATACCCTCAGGGGCCCACCCTCAAAAGAGGACTCGCTCAAACCATGAGGTTGATGACCCGGAAGTCCTTCTGCAGGCCATGGCCAACAAACTTGACTCCAATGTCAATGAGAAAACGAAGCTTTAAATAAGTAGACTTGAGAGTTGTGAGGTGCTTGGAGGAAATTTTGGCATCGAGGTCTCCGGGCTTTATCCCCGAGTATTGAGTCAAGTAATCTACCACCTAGGAATAGAGAAAAGGACTCACAAAGCAAGGTGCAGAGTCTCCTCCTACGTCTATTCCCTGGGTTCTCAAGCACTCTACATAAGCACAGGATCTGCCTCACTTGCACCTCCATATCCTAATACCTGCTCCTGGGTAGAGATGTAGTCATCAATGAAGGGGATACCCTCATTGGGTCCCTGCCCCCGGACACAGGTAATTCTTGCTACTGACATCTGGCTTGGTTTAATAGTAGACTTGGTACCATCACTGCGTAACTCTGCTTCCTCCTACACAGGAAGAGTTAATAAGAGAATCAGAGAAATGCTTACAACTCCTAATATTCTCAGAGTTCTGTTCCAATGCCCCATCCTTTTGATCTTAGTTACCTCATTAAGGGTGACAAACTCAGCATCCAGACCCACCAGGTCCCCAACCTGTGGCATCTCATTCAGCATCAGTGGAATAAAGGTAGTATGCGTTTTCCGCTGCTTCCGTGCCAGGGAGGCTTCGGCCAGCAGGACACTTGCCTCAATAGGGTTCTTGACTAGAAGGGAGAACACAGAGGACAGAGGGCTGGGATAGGGAAGTGACTAGGGGAGAGAAGCCCAGAGTGGCTGCTCAGAGACTCTGGGTCTATACTGTGATCCCTCAATAATCAAAGCATGTAAGTAAAAAGATCATGTCTGATGAATGGCAAGGTAGAACAGATGAAATCAGAAAATTATCAAGCATAAGCTAGGGGCTGGCATGGTGGCTCACGCCTGTAATCCTAGCTCTCTGGGAGG